TGTGTGTGTGTGTGTGTGTGTGTGTGTGTGTGTGTGTAAGCTAATGTATGAAAAGGGTTTGTAGAATGAAATCCAAGCAGTAAGTTTGAGTTTTCAGACACAGAAATGGATAGAAACTGACTTGATTGACACGGAGAGAGAAACTCTACCTAATAAGACAACAAACCGAAAGTGGGAAGTAACTAACTTCCTTTTAACCACTTCTCCGTGTACTTCACCCAACAAAGGCTTACTTTCCACACACCCACATAATATTAAAGTCTCGACGTGCACTCGCGTGTAAAAATATGAAACCAGCGTGATGAAGATGTTATTGATACTTTACTAATGACGCTGTCCTATACTGATCAAGTCTAGAATCAGATACAGTACATTGTATTAAACACGCACCCACACACACATTGAATAAAGTTAGCACACAATAATTACTTATATTTAAACGTTCTTTTCTGCCTTTCTTGCACTGCTCAGTTGGGGGCTCTCGTGGCCTAATACTAATAGCGACCGAAAAGTTTTCTTCTCTAAAATTGTCTCCTTTGGCCTCCTTTCCTGCTCTCCAGCAATGTTCTGTCGTCTGCTTTCGTCTGTACTTTCTTCCCTCACCCCCTCACCTCCTTTTCCCACTCCTCTGCGCTCCTGACTCTTTCTGCAGCTTTCTACTGCTGCTCCTTGGCTCCTTCTTACTGCAGTCTTTCAGCCACACCCCTGATCTTCTTGTAGGAAAGATCTACACCTAGCCTTTTCGGACAAGAGCGAAAAATCTCGGAGGTTCCGTGTGCAAGTTGTGCACGTTAAAGATCCCTTGGTGGTCCAAAATCGATAAGAGTAGGCTTCGGCCGTCACCTGGGCAAATTTCAAAGCTTCCTACCAATTGAGAATGGTTGGTGTGTCCCGCTCATAGGACCTTATGCAGTTGCGAGCGCCGTAAAACTCTTACTGAAAAAAAAGAAAAAAAGACAGCGAATAGAACACCAAACACAAACATGAGTGGCTTAAACATCAATGGAAAAATAAAGATTACAGCTACGCTGGGAATAGA